CATATCTTGAGTGTCTGTTCCGCGACATTCTTTGCTCTCCATCCCACTTCCCGTCATAATCCACATGTTGTCTACCATGGTTGTGATCCCTTGCATGTCGTGACCGGTATGTCTCTCCATTTAAGTTTCTCTCACCATGTCTTTGACGTGGATCCTGCAGGCGATGTCTCATGTCGTTTGAACGGCTATGTTGCGCATATCGTGTTGATGCAGTAAGACGAACATAATCTTGTTCATTCCTCCTATCCTCCTTGTTGAGCTCCCGCCTGACATCCTTCAAGGAAAGTGAAGCCGGCAAGTCCTGAGGAGCTTGGACACGCGAGAAAACACCCCCTCTTGTTGGCGCTTCTCCAGCTGCAGGTACCATCGATGGACAGTACCCTTTCTCGTGCGTCATAAGACCGCATATGGTGCAATGTTTGAATAGCAAGTCATATTTAATCTCAATTGTGACCTCCTCTCCTTCTGGACTTTGAACTTTCCTCTTAAACTTTAAAGGCTTCCTCGAATCAAAGTGAATCAACAGCCGACCTTCGGAGAGATCCACTGTGTCAACATAACCTAGGCGATCTCCAATATTCCGCAAGTTTTTATCCGTCCACAAGTGCAGAGGCATACCAACAAAAGTGACCCAAAATGGAATAATCCAAGGGTAATCATCATGCACTATTGGTTCCCACCTCACCAAGACGAACATACAGTAGTTAAAGTGGAAAGGACCTTGTCTAAGCACAAAGTTTAGATCTTCCTCTGACTTAAAGTTCAGCAAGAACTTTTCATTCCCTAGATCATTTGCCGTTATTCGCGTCTCAAGACCCCACTGCTGTGGCATTTTATGAATAAGCTTTTCGACGTTTTGTTTCTTTGGATTTAGTATCTTCCCAATCAACGACATCCGGTATTCTTTTATGACAAAAGCGTCATCTTGTTCTGTGAGCTTTATAGGTTCATCATCATCCTCGTAGAGGATCCCTTTGCCCTTTAAATCCGCCATATGAACGGACTTGGATTTATCATATGATCCCATCGCGATACCAAGAGGATGAGTCGATGTATGAGTGTTCACAATAGATGAAACTCAATTATCAATCAACGTTGAATCCCTACCAAATGACGAGGGTTAATCTCAGTATCAAGTTGTCTAACACCAAGGAGTGTTTAAACTGGAGATCTATGATTGTGATAACACTCAATACAGATAGCGCTCAGTGTAGAAACCTCCTTGATCCCACCGGTAACAGACAACGGTGTAGCGCTACGGTCGTGTTCGTTGTGGTGTATTTATGGAGAGACGAAAGCTGTTCCGATGAATCGACGACGCAAACCCCAACACTAACAACCGACAAGGATCGGACTGGTATGTATGGAGATGTGATCACCAAAGGGTGATTCCCGCAGAGACTTCTTCCTCTCGTCCGATCTCCCTCATGATCTCCCTCATGATCGCAGAGCGGCTAGGTTTAAAATATGGATTTGTTATTTAAGGTCCATTTGAATATCTAAAAAATGATTTATCCATAGGTTTTGCATCTTTCTTTAGAATTAGGATAAGACATGCGCTTTATATAGGGTTAAGGTATATAACTAAAATATAAAATTTGAATATTGACAAATTTGAAATTTACATATGATTATTTTTATATGTATTTAAAATTTTAGAATTTTGAATTTTTATATAATTATCTACACATAGGATTAGAAACAATTGTAATTAGAACTCTAGATCAAAATTTAGAATTGAATGGACTCATTTTCATATATCTTTTCATTTTTCAGTGTTCAAATGATGGAAAATAAACAGAGTGTCACTGGGCTTGATTGGTAGAGTATTAACAAGTTCCCTAATGCTTTCTTAAGAAACAGTTACGTTGGTAAAATATTTACATTTAAAATATATAAAGTTTCAAAACTAATTTAATATAATTTATTTATTTGTCTAATAATATTAGAAAATTATATTTTTTACAAATTATTTAAAAATAATAATTTTATAAAAAATCAAGTTAAATTTTAAATTATTTTTAAAAACAATATTATAAGTTTTTCAAATACAAATAAAAAATTTAAAATTAATTATGGTCATACTTTAACATAACCATAATGATTTTTAAAATTTTAAAAATTAACAAATTAAAAAATTAACTCAGTTTTATATCATGATTTCAATTTAAAAATTAATTATGGTTATGAGAAGTTTACGTTCACGTGTCAATCCTATTTATCTTCAAGTTTTTCTCTTATTGAGTTTTTTTTTTTTTTGGTTCTTACTCGATAAAAATATTTGTTTTGAAATTTATTCTCATTTCGTTTGTTTGTTTTGACCTGGGATTTAGAAAATACTTAAGATTTAAAATAATTAAAGAGATACATACTTAGGTTAAGATTTGCACTTTATGAACAATAAGTATTTTATATTTATTATTTATTTTATATTTTTCTGCATATTATAAAATAATAAAATAATATATATATTTATATAAAATAACTAAGAAATGAGTTACTATTATGTAATAAATTGGCGTATGCATATAAATTTAATTATCACTTTTGTTATTCGTAATTTGGGTAAATAAATCAAATAATCAATCTTATAGTTTGTATATGATATATAATTAAATTTAAAAACATAGTAATATAGCATACTTTTAATAGGGATATTTATTAAATGAGGTTTCTACTCATATGATTATATGATTATTTGCATATTTGTGTGACAAAACTTTACACCAACGAATTTCTTTTAATACGATGTATAGTTTAATTTAAATGATATTAAATATATATATAAACTAAAATTATTTCTTCATATGATCTTATAATCATTATATTTTAATATAGAAACAAATTAAAACCTTGATCCTAAAAGTTTATGTGAGTCTTTTAACAGTTTTAGTTATTTATACTCATATTGAAACATTCGAAATACAACATACACAAAAAAAAATCTAGATTTTTATTATATGATTAATGTAATTGTGTAATTTATACAGATGGTTTATCAAATATTTATTGTTAAAAATCATTAATTTTCATATATATATATATATTGATCACATTAGGTAATTCCGTAGGTTTTATTTAAGGAAAACATGCGAAACAATAAATATTTGATATATGTGATCAACTATAGCCTACGAAATATTATATTGTTAGAAAGTATAATTTTTAGACTTTATATTATATTACATGTTCTAGAATCCTTTTAAATTGAAAGAAAAGACAAAAAACTATGCCACATAGAATTGAAGTTATTTTTAATTATTACAAACTTAAGGTCACAACTTTTAAATGATTCGTTTTTAATATATAACGAATTAGTGTTAACTCTTTCATATATATGGGATATCCACATGTTAATTTTTTTTTTAAAGTCAGGTTATATCCAAATCCCTTTTCTCTATACCATTTACTTTTTACCTTTTTATAGGATCATTTTCGATGGGCTTATCTTAAAATTGTCATTCCGTACTCTTGTTTAAAATTGTTATTTTGTCAGTCCATAATACTTGTCCATTTAGGCCTATTACCAATGTTTCTATAAAAATCAAAGCCAACTAGGTTCAGTTATTTTCGACATTCTTTAAACCCACCTGACTCAATTGTTCATGCTGAAATAAAACTAATTTTGTTTCAAGACCATCGAGTTATTTAAAAATATGATTAAGCTAAATAAAGTTATTTCGTTAGTTACTTATGAAAAGTACGATACATTATAACTAAAAAACCTTTAAAACGAATTATACCATGGCGTACAAAAAAGCTATATGAAATTTTTTTGAGATGATGTAATTTTATGAGAAAACATCCATCAAAACCCGAACTTTCAAATTAAACCCAAAAAAATTCCAAACTCGTGTTTGAGCAAAAAAAAAAATTCAATTTTCAAATATTGGTAATTTAAACCCTCATATTTTGTTGACTTGGCCATTTAAAAAAACCTGAATAGCTAACTCTTAAACACGATTATAAAAATAGATGTATATTAACTCTGTAAACGATGTCGTTTTAAAAAAGATCAGTCAAACAACGTTGTTTTGTTTTTTAAACATTTAAAGCATCTATTTCGTGAAATTAGAGTCCAAAGTCAACTTCATCTTCCTGACTCAAGGTGAGAAAGATGAAATCGATTTGGAGTTATGGTTTCTCGAATAAAATGTTTTAAATGTTAAGAAAAGCAAAATGACGTTATTTGATTAATGTTTAATCACTTTTTAAAACTATGTCATTTAAAGAATTAATATACATTTGTTTCATAATCGAATTTAACAGTTGATTATTCAGGTTTTTTAAATGGTCAATACAATAAAATAAGAGTTAAAACAGTCAATATTTAAAAGTTTAAAACTTTTTTTAGTTCACACATGAGTTAGAGATTTTTTTTTTTACTTTAATTTGATAGTTCATGATTTTAATGATCATTTTTCCGTAATTTTATTAGAGATTGTTTTATTTAAAGTTCCACACACTTTCAACTGTGTGAACATATCTGCTCCAACGGTAAAGCTACAAGACGAAATGCTTCAAGTCTCAAAGAATATAATATTCTAGATTTCCCCATTTTTTGGTTTTACTTCTTCAAATTTCACTTCTTAGACTTGAAAAAGGTTGAAGAAAATACTATCAACTAAATATCTTTTTCACTTAATCGTAACTAAATATCTTTTGGTATTACACACCAAACTCCGACCCAAACACAAAACTCTTACAAATATCCCCACACACACACTTACAATTAGGAAACCCTTACATCAGTTATTTCTAACAATGTAAACGGCATGATAGGTGGATCTTCTCATGCGGCTCTGGCACCTTTACCGTCAGCGTTTTTCCAACATCGCCGCTGTCACCACGGTAGCATGATGCACATGACTTTCTTCTGGGGGAAAATACGGAGGTTTTATTCGACGGATGGCCAGGGACTAGTCTGACCATGTATTGGGTATGCCTCGCTTCCATTTTCGTCTTTTCCGCATTGTCTGAGGCTTTCGCGGTGCGGGGTTATGAAAACCGGTCCAGCTAGCTTTGACGTTGGGCTAGTCCAGACGTTGGTTTACACCGTGAGGGCTGGTTTGTCTTATTTGATCATGTTGGCTGTGTTGTCATTCAATGGAGGAGTCTTCTTGGCTGCAATGGCTGGTTTTGGATTAGGGTTCATGATTTTTGGAAGTAGGTCTTTTAAGGACACTGGGAGTAATAACAATCACACCGATATTCAGTCACATTGTTGATTGATTCTTTGTAGGCTTTATTTTTCCTCCGTTTAAATAATAACTAACTGTTTTCCTGTACCATGTGTAAAAATAAAATTTTTAAAAATTGAATTACATAAATTTAAAAACAAAATTTCATTTTTGCATTATTAACTATATGTAAATATTAAGATAAAATAATTAACTTTTTATTTAAATTTTATATTTAATAGTATATGTATATGTATATATTTAAATTTTTATTCTTGGAAATAATTTTTTTTATTTTGGTTAAAATAGTTTAAGTATATAATTATCAATATATAAAGTGAATAATATTTCTAAAATTTATAGATGTTATAAATAAACTAACGGTATTAAGATTAGAAAATTACATTTTTATATCCACATAATATTTTGAAGAATTTATATTAATAAAAAAATATATAATTATAAAAAAGACTCAAAAAATATTTCAAAAATTGTAAATATTATTATATTTATATTGTACTATTATTTATTATTA